GGTAGATTATTCAGTTGAATTCTACAAGGTTCTGCCTTCACCTTTTTGACATCAAGAAAAATAATCCTACTGTTTATAAAATAGTATAAATCCTCTTGGTACTGGAGGTAGGAGAAGCAAGTATGCCTGAGTCTTCCTAAGTTCAATTGGTTGTGAGGAGGCGAGCCAGACAGGTCAGCAGGAATGTATTATTGTTGCTCAATTCGGCTGTTCGGCTCATTCATGAGATATGCATTCCAAACTTAAACTTACATGGAGATCTTATCCAGTTGCATTTCAGATGAGAGCCATTCCACGTGCTGAAATAGTCATACAAACCTTTCTAACATTCCCTGATTTAAAGGCCTTACTGTTGCATAGTTACTGATGCTCCAATGTTTTAAACTTTTTTCCCCAAAATAACTGGCAACTCAAAGTATAATAGTTCGATTAATTTAACCATTCTGAAATATCAGCCTCAAGCCAAAAGAATCAAATGATTCAGTTTTAAATTGAATTCATTTGTGCAACCTGTTCAGCAGGCGGGAGACAGTTCCAATTTTTGCGGACCTGCTGAGTCAACACATTGCATTGATCCATACCTACTCACTAGATAGAAGAATTAATAAAGATCTTGGTTTGGAGCTGCTGATGTGGGTCTGTGGGGAAAAGCTGAGGTATGAAGAATTTGAATTGAAGTGGTTTGTGGTGATGAGGTTCCATTATTTTACATTCAAAATCCCTTCTCCCAGCCGTGATTTGTAAAATTACAATCTTCTGCTATTATTTTACAAATGGTCAATTGTCAATCTTCAAGAAGAAGAAAATAAATTGGCCTTTCAGAAACCACGAATTACAGGCAAATGCTCACTGGTCTGACAATATTCAAGGATACCACTTGTTCATAGCTATAATGTAGAAATCCTGATCAGAATACAAAAGATTTGGGTTAATATGCTTGGTGATTTTGGTGAAGCTACCATGGTTTTACTGTTCCACTAAATTAGTGAGAAAAAAAACACATTTCAACTTGGATCACAAAAAACATCACCAAAATCCATTGAATCTCATTGAATCAAAATCTTTTACTCACGTGTGAAAACTTCTGAGTTTGTAAGCTAATACTAGAAGCAGTATAATAAACTGTCATTCTTTAGCTTTCTGTTCCTACATGTGGTAACATTAAAATCTATTTGTTTTTCTTATTCCATTAACTAATTGATCCAGAACCCTTGAAATGCTATAATTCTCCCTACACATGTTACCTCACCTCAAAGCCAGGTGTCAATTTTATATGATTGCTTGAAAGAGATAGCATTCATCCGAATGCTGGTGATTCAAGATAACACAACAGCCCTGTACTTAACATGTATTCATACATTTAATATACTTTAACACTTTTTTTCCATTAATTGTACAACAGGTTCTCTGCTTAAGTAAAATATATGCAATCAGTGAACGAATGAGCATTTGTCAACCTGAGGTAAAATATCAAACTGCACATCACTGAACACTCCCCCCCAGCGGCTGACCTCAAATCAAAACAAAGTCTTCATAATATCCTACTTGCTTCATGTGGCAGCAAAAATGAGATATTAACTCGGAACATCACAAAATCATAATCATAACCCTTAGTGACAACAACAACTTGCATTTATATAGCGCCCTTCACGCAGGGGAGCGTCCTGGAGCACTTATCTATATATTATATAAATATATGGATATAACTGCATGATAATCACATTATGGCTCTCAGGGACATTAGCAAATACTATACTTGCAATAATTGTTTTTCTAGTAAGGTACAGGTGATCCCATTTATTGCACCCTTATCTCCACCAGGCTGTCTAATTCCATCTTCGGAGAAATGGCATCTCTAATAATGCCATACTTTCTTAATTTTGCATCGAAGTTTCCAATGATATCATGAGCTGAAGTCCGAATGTAGAGCTCAAGCCCATAATTGTCAGACCTAGAGTTAAGGGTGATGTTCCATTAGATCCTATTGTAGAAGAGAAACAGAGGCAGCAACAGAAAGGCACATATATAACAAAGGTTTGAACAAACCTTTAGCACTGCAATTTGCTGTATTATATCACCTTCTTTCAATTTCCCTCCTATACATCCATTATTTTGTAAATTACACAATCAGGATGTAGTATCTATGCTTATTAGAGTTTGAATACTAACTGAACTGTGTACCTCCTACCACAAATCAAAACTCTTGTTACAGAATCTGCTGGCTTCAGCAGGGCAAGACGGCATATATTATTTTTAATGGGTTTTTAATTTTTGTTGTTGATGATAATACTAATTCATATTGCAAAGTCGGTGGCTAATTGGAATATATCACTGATTCTGCATTCAGACCTTCAGCTGTCAAGTTCTTCCTGCAACCCCTTATTGTCTATCGCCCTAATAAGCTTCTCTCCTCAGGTCAGCAAGTTCCAGTGACAAGTAACAGTTATTGGCTAATGCCTCTGCTTCACTTAATTAGTTTTATCTCTTGGAAGAGAATTATATATCTTCTCATTTGCCATTGTAGGATTTTTTTGCCTCAAAGAAAATAATAAACGGAAAGTCAGTTAAAATTTCAGATTCTGACAAGTTATCTGTTGCGATTTGGGCTTCACTTCACTGTGATCTTACTCATAAATCAAAATGCTTTGAACTAGAATTAAAATCAAACCTGTGTGCCTATCATTATGAAAGGCATGGGCAGGTTGGCAGTATTACTTACAAAAGGCAATGTTTTCACTGGAACAGAGAAAGTTGAGAGGAAACCTGATAGAAGTGTTTGAAATTATGAGAAGTTTTGACAAAATAAAGGGAAGAAGTTATTTGCACTGGTCAGTGTTTATGTAAAAGGCATAATTTTAAGAGCATTACTATGGGTGGAATTCTTCTTATAAGTTGTAAAATTCTACGTACACTGAGTACATCAATCTGATGGAATCCACAACATTTTGTTATTCCTCCTGAAAATGGGATTCTTCACCCCGGGTGACAATTTTTTTTCTTCAGATTGAAAACAATTGAGATCTATTTCTTCTGACAGATGCTTAGGGTATTATGGCAGTCTCAATCTAAAATCCCACGAGATGCAAGACCATAGCAGAAACTGCCAGGATCTCAGTCGCTTTTGAAAATAAATGCATGAATTAACACGCTGGAAACATGAACCGCTTCAGCTCATCAACAGATGCACACCCACATTAGACAGCTGCAAGCAGAAGCAATTCTACTAATATTGAGAATACTGTTGTACACTGAACAGAAAACTTCATTTTAGACTGTTATATCAGTGCAGTGGCACATTATTACTAATTTTAACAATAATAATAATCCTTGTATTTTGATATAGCGCCTTATGACATCTTCGAGACTTCTCAAAGTGCTTCACACTAAAGTGAATTCACCAAATATTTTATGCGCAGTCAATTGCGCATAGCGCTGCCCCACAAACAGTCGTGGATTGAATTACCAAATTATTGTTTTTTTCAAAGGGAAAAGCGATCCGTCAATCTACTAACAGCCGGGTTCCTACTTACTGCTAGGTAAACAGGCTTGTGGAGTAAGGAAACTTGTCTCGGCTTGCCCGGGAATCGAACCCAGGTCCTCTTGTTTGCAAGGCAATACTCCACAGGACTTTTAGTTTTAACCATGTGTTATCCTGCAATCACTCTCAAACTGCAGGCTTTCTCAAATATTGATGGATTGAACAAAAAAGCATCCAAGAACAAAACACACTATTCTTTTTTTGATATGAACTAAAAAGAGTAAAACTTATTTTTAGGAATTCATCCCTCAGAAGATCTTAAGTAAATTTCTGTAAAAATTTCTGCACAGAACACAGAGGTAAAAGTACCTATTTTTAGTAGTATCCATTAGATGACCATCAGTTGTTGTTCTCCCTGTGCAACAGCAGGGGACAGAAAGATTGTTTTGTCAGCATAAAAGACTGTGGCTCCAAGTCTAAAGAAACTTGGTAAATATGTAAATTGGGCCGCATATATATATATTTATTAGAACAGTCATAAAATAGACTTTGCCCCAAAAATCAGACACGATAGGATCTATTATCATTGCAACAGCACCATGTGAATCAAAGTACCACTGTTCCTTAATGTGGGATTAATTAATTCAACTTGTATCATTTTTATTCTTTCACCATGTTCCCTCTGCCAAGGAGGTGGATGAATAGTCCACTTCTGTCCTTTTCTCTCCCCACTCCCCTTCCCCTCCTTCCCCACCTCGTTAGTCCCCGCTTTTAAAAACAAATTTCCATTTGGAAATGGAAAATTTCCCTTATTAGAAAATTTGAGTGCAGATTCCATTTCAACAACCTATCTCCGGGTTTTCATGTGTAGGTGGGATGCATGGAAATATCAGCTTGGTTTGGATACTCTTAAGCATGGTGATGGGTTTCCACATGTGTCAGACCAAAAAAACGGTGATTGAGCAGTTCACGGTAAAGGAGGTGGCTGACCAAAAAAAAAAATTATTGGAGAAACTTAGTCTGCATGTTAATTTGACAACTGATCCTATCTTAGAATGGTTCCAGTTGAACATCCTAAATAATGTTTCAACTTGAACTGTGAGTAAATCACGAGTAAGCATCTTCACTACTACACTGCCTGTGTCTCTATAAATAGAGGGGTATGTTGATGAAAGCCTTAAAAGAATTGTAACCAACTATGTAGGCTATGCATAAATCAGTAGGAAAGTGCCAGCTGTATGTTACAAACCAATGTCGTGGAAGTAATGCTACTAATTTCAGTTTAGTATGGAATCTGTTCTAATGGTTCCAGAACCCAGTAGACACATTTACTTCCAGTTGACTGCTTATAGGCTATCGCTTCCGCTGCTGACACCTTCTATTGTGTTCATATTTCCACAAGTTTAAGCCGCCCATACGATCTCTTGATTTGGTTATTGGCTTATCCAAAGTCAATTCTTCTATGGGTTTCTGTAAACCATTAATTTGATAGGAGTTACCAGGTACACTTAGTGGTTCTTACCTGGATGCAGCGATCTCAGCTTTCTGTTTGGCGACAGCTACAGATCGCTCCGCTGTTTCCATTGATCTGTCCACCTTGTCACGGATCTTACTCGTCCGTAAAGGAATCAGGTTCTTCCTCTTCCCACTCACTAACACATTCTGTTTATATTTGCCTTCCTCTTTTGTACCATCTGGAAATGTTGTACATCCATAACCATGCCTCTTGTTGCTCAACCACTCCCCTTCGTATTTCAGGCCATCTGATCGTTGACTTGCCCCAAAACCAGAACGCTTGTCATGCTTCCATTCTCCTATGTAGGTCTCTGTTGTTGTTGCGTCTATGTCATCTTCGATGACCGACAAATCTGTCTCACCCTCACCCAAGCTCATGGTTGAGTTGATGTCACTAGCAGTAGAACTGACTGTACTCATCCCAGCTTCACTTCGGAATGAGCTCTGTTTGCTTCTTTGGCTGGCCAAGGAATTTTTTGACTCAGACTTGCGGAGTTTCAGCCCACTCAGAAGAGACCGGCGAAAAATCCCTTTCTTCTTGTTTTTACCTGCAGCAAGATCAGTGTCACTATGCATAGTGAGGACAAAGCCCCCTCTTGATCCTGCAGGGCTTCCAGCTGGAGTGTCTGGATGAATAGCTGTGCCGTTACTGTGCTCACTTCTTAGAGAGTTAATAGAAGTCCTAAGTGGGGACCTGATAACAGCAGCAATTCCATAAGGGACACTCTGCCGGATACCGTATCCATGGCGCATTCCTCCAACCCACTGTCCCAGGTAGGTACCTGTAACCGAAAACAGATCACTTTTAAATATTTATTGCATTCATAGTAATCAATGAACTTGCAGCCAAATATATTCACTGTCAGGTTCTGCTTGACAAGACACCTACAAATTCATTCTTGTCATCTAAAACCGATGGTAACATCTCACCACAAATCGTTTGTTGACTTCTTCCCCTTCAAAACAGTACATTCATTATTGAATAACAGGCCAACCATTAGTATCTACATACTCATGGTTTGCAACAAATATCACGATTATTATGATTGAAATAGTTTATATCACAAGAACACTGGAGAGGTATGGGTGAAGAGGGCTCTTTGTCTAATTTAATCTTATTATTCTAATAGGTAGAACATGTGTGAGAGATGAGAAAGAATGTTTATTTTAAACCGAGGAATAATGGGTGTGATTGTGGACAGTTCACAGTAAAGGAGGTAGCTGAGAATTTTGACAAACTAGTTGCAGTACTATACATGCAAATTCATTGCAGATCAAGCCTCCATTGTGATCTCTCGAGGTCTGAGGCCAAGTACTAAACAGATCACAGTTAGAGAAAGAGTGTGACCTATATCACGTGGATTTCAAGATTTGTAAAAAAATTGTGACATGAATAACAACATCCACTCTTCCCATTTGCTCAAAGTCAAAATAATAACAGACAAACGTAGTCTTCTGCATTATCCTTTTGATGCATGTCAGATATTAAATACTGCGCAGGCTGGTAAAATTATATTCTGTAGCAAAACTGTGCAAGGCTGAGTGATCAATTAGAAGAAGTGGGAGACACTGTACTCTGAAGCCTCTCTGGAAATTACTTCCAATTAGATTTTATGGACACGTAATAATTTCCACAAATGCAAGACTGCATCATTAACTTGTTGGGAATGATTTTGTACAATCATTTCCGATGGTTGGTTCTGAGGAAAGAATTCAGTGTACGTTATTTAGCAGCGACGTGTTTAACGCAGTCCACCATTGACTCATTGCCATGCTTGCATTGCACCCAGATGGACTAACTACCACGTAAGTACACAGCAATTCCCAAGACTACAATTTTATCCATCGTCACAACTCCACAATTGAACTTTGCCCTGTTGTTTATCCTACTCCATCAGCAAAGGAACATTGTCTTACCTAGAGTATTTGAACATCTTGTTCTGTAACTCTCAAAATAACTACTAGTTCGATATCCACATATTGATCCATTTCCATTTTGAAGAAGTTAACCAACTTCGCTGTTATTAGTTTCCTGGGAGTGTGTCCCACATATCCACTACACTGTAGGGGAAGGAATCAAAATTTCTTTCCAATCTCTCGTCGTTGATAATAATTCCTAGTCTCTGTTATTCAAGGAAAGGTATTACCTTAATGGTTCGTATTATACTGGAATTTATCTGTGATAGCAGTGTTGGATCTTGAATGAATATAGGTCAATTGGTTGCACTCTGCTATTTGTAAGATGAACATTAAATATATACAGTATTTAGATCAATTATTTGCCGAAGAAAACCATGCCGAAGAAATATCATTGGAATTTTGCAAAAATAATGGAAATAAAGTTGGTGCAGAGTCTATTTTCTGACCTGAGTATTGCAAAATAAGATTGCAAAATATTATCAAAGTGTTTGTGTGACCTGCACATGACAAGAAAAAGTTACTTCCCCAGCTCTTTAAAATCAAACTTCTGCATAAATAGGATGATATTATACCCATCACCTCTTAATTTTTAGAAGTCAGTGTTTAACATTGTTTGGGGAAAGGAGAATTTTAGTTGATTGGAAGAATTGTATCTTGTTCTTTGAGAAGACCGTGCTTCCTATGATGAGAACTGGGTGCTCATTTTGTACTGTGCTGTATTTAAAATTAATTTTTGACATTTTTCATTGAAGTAATAACAAGATAAGCTTGTTTGTTGTTTTTTTCACCAATATATTGCTTCTCAAGCACATCCTTGGAAAAGGATCCGAGGAGAATAAATCTTGTTTGATTGAAAGTAGTGTTCTTTTGCTGTACTGAGAAAGCCATTGCACACAGTGTAAAGAATATAGGTTCTTCTGAATTACAGGCCAGGTTTGCAATGCAATTTATAAAAATGCCATAACACTCCACTGTTAGCTACGGCTGTTTTTTATAGGTCTCAATATTCAGTCCTTTCGCTTATAAAGGATATTAAATTTCACCGCAAAGTCTGACCTATTTGAGCTCATTTGGTCATACTGAAGACTCACTGACTCTGCTCACACACGAGGAATGGTCCTTTGCACCAAGTGCTGGAAGGTAACTGTCTGACACCAGTCGAAATATTAACACTGCTAATATTTCACTGACTGTACATTAATTAACCTTACCTAATATTACCCTGCATGAAGTTGAATGCATATATTTCTGCTTTTGCTTGACTTCATGCAGTTAGATTTTAAGCGTTCAAAGCAATGTTGAAGAAATTAGCATTTTTCAGAACAATCCAGATAAGACCAATACATTCCACAAAACACAATTTGAACAGGTGTCATTATCCGGGTAAAATAACAAACTTTCTGCATCTCAACTCCTGAGATGCAGAAATGGTGGTGTTAAAGGGCCTCTCTAAAAGCCTTTGCCAATATCAATCGGTATCCAGGTAGTATTGTTGCTCAATTTCTATCTTTGCTATTTGCTGCGTACTTTGGCTTAATCCAATGTCACGTCTAATGACCTCGCCGTTTTCAGCAGTTCATTGTTTGTAGTCAAGCTTGGGTTATGAACCTCAGTTTCCTGATCTATGGCACTACTCACTGAAAGAATACTGTCAATTTTGCTTTTTGACGCTTTTAATATTTGTACAAATAATCCAGCTCTAAATACTATAGTTGAAAACTTTGATAAAAATTACTTTACCACCTCAAATCTAAGCAAAGTATTTAATTTTCAGTAAATAGGAATGGGAGGCAATTTGAAATGTGATGACTGTTCTACCTTTAGGAAGTACTCCCCTCAATTCACTTTCATTAACAGAAATATTTCTTCATATTTCAGTGGTAAAGGTTCCATGACACTATTTCAAAGAAGAGCAGGAGTTTCTCTTGGTGTTGTGGCCAATATTCCTGCTTCAACCAAATTCACCACAAAATAAATTAATTGGTCTTTGCTGTATGTGGGATGTCGCTTGAACAGATTAGCTGGCTACCTGGCAACAGTCACGACACTTCAAAGCAATTCAACATATGAAATGCTTTGACATGTTTTGATGCAATAAGGCATTATGTTAAGCGCAAGTGTTAATAGTACAAAATAGTCGGCTTCACAGATCTGTAGATACCATGAAAATAAATCATTTATTGATGCCCCATAAAATAGCAAAAGCAAAAATGTTGATAAAGAAATGCTTGAAGGTCATGCTTTAATCATAATAATAATCCTTGCATTTGATATAGCGCCTTATCACATCTCAAAGACATCTCAAAACGTTTCACAGAATATATCGTAGAGTGAATTGACCGTGTATTTTGTTTCGCCCACATAATATACAGTCAATTCACTTCACAATATATCCCCAACATGAGCTCACTACTATCACTCCTACTAAACTAATGAAATATTTGCTGAAAGCAATGAGGTCCATTTCAGAAAACTATGCTCCTATAAGCCATCATCAAAACTGAATTCCAAGGACCATCAAAGTAGTTCCTAACTAAATTACAAATATCTCGGAGCGATGGAAATTGGTAAAAGATAAATGGATTTTGCTGCGAAGATATTTCTCTCACTTTGGAATATTTGCAGTAGACATATATTTAATAAATGAGAGCTAGGGCAGCAGTAGAGCACTGCAATTGGCCTCAGTGGCCCGATAAGCAAAGAGGATGAATGAGCCAGAATGAGCTTTCTTGACTGCTACCCAGTGACCCCTGTTGGAGCTGCGTGTCTATGTGGATGCCCAGCTCAGGTGAACGAGCTGGGTTGTGAAGCTGCAGTCGAATAGAATAGTTTGCAAAACCCGAAGGTTCATACTTGAAGAATAGTCACTTAGAAAGAATATCAGAGGGTAACCAGCATCCGTGAAATCTTACACTTAGAACAAATAGAAGGGAAAAAAAGGGGTTCAAAGGCCCTCAGTAAAGACGGGAAGAAATTGGCAGGGAGAGAAAAATTGATCTCAAGCACAATTTCTTTATACTCGTCTGTTTGAAACAAGGTCAGTGATCTTCCTTCCTTTCTAAAAACAAAGGACATTAAAATTAAGCACTCAATCCTTACCCCGCGTGAAGGGCACTATATAAATGCAAGTTGTTGTTGTACATGATATAAGAGTATACCGAACTCTCTCAGACCAATGGCAGCATTAAAACCCAGCATATTTAATGGCTTTGGTTCTGTCAACAAAGTGATGGTCAAAGGATGCTTCCAAGTGCTCCGGGCTCGCTCTCAATTTTTGATTAAAAATTTGTCTTGTTGGGCTTCTGTCAGTTCATTTTTTTTAATCTATCAGTTACCCCACCTCTCCCACCCCCACTTCTCCCATGAGGGCTTTGTCTTCAAACCACCTCCTCCAGCTGGAAAAGCAGAGCAGTGCAGCTTAAGACTTATTCATCACCACATGACTGGCTTGACAGAAATGTGCTTGTAGCACATTGAGATGGGCAATGACAGTTCTTCTCCACTGTTCTGAGTTGCTGAGCCAATTTGCCAGGACAAGAACTGAAAAACTCAAAAGAGCTGTGACGGGCACTTCTAGGATTCAGCCCCCTAAGTATCTGGTTTGAGAAACCAACATTATTACCATTAAACTACAGATCTATGTAAGTTTTTTTTGATGTGTTCTTGCTGCTACACTTGTATGACAAACGGGCTGCCTAAGAACGCTGACAGATTAATCACCCAGTGATATCACACCACTTAGATTAAGTTTACAGAACCAAACAGTCAGCAGAAATACGCTAACAGTTCCAACCCTGAAGGAAAGTTCAAATTAGTATTTTGCTGAAAGGGAGCTTGCCATGGTTCTGAACAGTATCCAGTG